TAAAAAACAATGATTAGAACATTACTGAGCTGTAAGGCAAGTTCAAGTGGCCTAATTAACATACATTTGGAGACATTTACAGAGGAGAAAGAAGTATAGAAAAAGATATTTGAAGAAACAAAGAAAGAAAAATCTCCAAATCTGATGAAAACTATAAACTCCAAGATTCAAAATGCTAAAAGAATTCCTAGAACAAGAACAAGAAAAATGGGGGAAAATACCCAAATAACCCCAGATTCATCAAAATCGAATTAGTTGAAACCAGTGATTAACAGAAAACTCTAAAAATTGTTTAGAGAAAGAGACACTTTATCTACAGAGGAGCAAAGAGTAGATTTCTTGTCAAAAACAATGAATGCAGGAGAAGAGAGGAGAAATACTTGCAAAATACTGAAACAAAAATATAACTGTCAATTTAAAATTCTGTACATCATGGAAATACATTGATGAAATAACGGTTTTTTAGGAAAGGCAAAATCTTAATCACTGACATATTAAAGGGAATCTTCTAGATAGAAATTATACCAGATAGAAATTGGGATCTAAACAAAGGAATGAGGAACGTTATGCATTGCAACTTCATGAGTAAATTTAAAATTACTTCCTTAAAATATAATTTTTTTACAGATGATTGTTTGAAGTAAAAAAAATAACAATGTGGGTTAAGATGCAGATCAGTGGTAGAGTGTTTTCCTGGCATATACTGGGCATGTTTAATTCCAACACCACAAAAAGTATAATAATAACAATGTATAGTGGAGTATATATCATATAGGAATGAAATGTATGCCAACAATAGATGGTAGGCTAAGAGGGGAGAAATGGAAATATACTGCTGTTTTTCATGTGTTTGATTATTCTGACTTCCAGTGGGTGTGGCTAGCTATTTTCCTTTCTGTACTCATAGATCTAGTACAATGACTAGGTGAACCCTCACATATTAAGCATTTAAATAGCACACATCATTTAAAATATGAGCACAGTGTGGCTTGTTGGCACGCTAAGAACTCCATATACAAAACTACTCTTTCTTCTTTGTTGAATAAGAAACTCATACGAGAAACACTTCACCTTGTGTTTTTACAGAGAATTAAGTACACATCTTTAAAACATTGTAATTGAAGTCAGGTGTGGTGGCACATGCATGTAATTCCAGCGACTAGGGAAAGCTGACTCAGGAGGATCACAAGGTCAAAGCCAGCCTCATCAATTTAGTAAGGCCCTAAGCAACTTAACAAGACCCTGTCTCTAAATAATTTTTACAAAAAGGCTGGGGAGGTGGGTCAGAGGTTATACATAACTGAGTTCAATCCCTAGTTTTTTAAAAAAGATTTTAGTTGAGATAATCTGAACATCAGTTACTCCCCATGTATTCTATAATGTTGTGATGCAGCAAGAAGGCTCTCATCAGATATAGCCCTCAATCTTGCACTTCCAAGCCTGAAGAACTATAGGGAATAAATCTCTATATAAATTAGCCAGTCTCATGTATTCTGTTACAGCAGCATAAAGTGGTCTATTACCAAAAAAAAAAAAAAAAAAAAGAAAGAAAGAAAAAATCAAACAGATTTTAATAAAGGCAGGTAGGGGAATTTTTTTTAAAAGGACATGAGGATTGTGAGTTCAAAGCCAGCTTCAGCAACTTATTGAGGTCCTAAGCAACTCAGTAAGAACCTGTCTCTAAATAAAATACAAAATAGGGCTGGGGATGTGGCTCAATAGTTGAGTGCCCCTGAGTTCAATCCCTGGTAGAGAGAGAGGGGGGGGGGGAGGGAGAGATCCCTTCCAGAAATCCAAATAGAATAAAAAATATATATGTACATATACCTATGTATATACAGATCACAGATAAACTCAAACAGGGTCTGCTATGTTATAGGTGCTTTCAAACATAGCATCACATGTAATTTTCCAAGAATCTTTTAAGATATCCACAGGCAACCCCCAAATTTTGGTTGATCTTCAGCAAGGCATGTTTGCTTTCTCCATACAATAGCATTGTTCTGCAGTACCCTTTGCAATATCATCTATAATGTCAGTAGGCTGAGAATCTCTCATTCCTTTTGACTGAACATATTTGAACAATAATAAAGGTGCTGTTAGACACACGGAAAACCAAGATTTTCTTGCAGGATAGGTACACAGACAAGAAACAAGATAGTAAACTACTATTTTTTTAAAAGAGAGAGAGAGATTTTTTTTAATATTTATTTTTCAGTTATCAGCAGACACAACATCTTTGTTTGTATGTGGTGCTGAGGATCGAACCCGGGCCACACGCATGCCAGGCGAGCGTGCTACCGCTTGAGCCACATCCCCAGTCCAACTTCTGTTTTTTTTAATTTCCCTCCCTTACATTTTATTGGTGCATTATAGTTGTACATAACAGTGGGATTCATTGTTACATATTTGTGCATGCTCACGCACATACATACACACACAGTATATATATATGTATATATATATATATATATATATATATATATATATATATATATATATATATATATCACCAATTTGCCATTCTAGGGAAGGGGGAAATACTGGGGGATGATCTTACTTTTCACCAAGAAACTATTTCCACCTCTTGGAGGCCCCAGAGATTTTAGGAATTCAGATTCCATAGTTTTAATGAAGTGATTTCTGTGGTCTTTCCTTATATACCACTGTGAGGGAGGATTTGGCCACATAGGCAAGGTAACTCATCTGTATATGTGTTCACTAGCCAGTTTCACATTAGGTATCATATTAAAATCCTCCTGCAAATATCTAAATCACTCCAAATATTCACTCACTAACTTCAATGTTAGATTTGAAGAACTAGTAGATTATGGGCCAAATCACTCTACTCTTCAGCTCATTTAAAAACAAAGTTTGTTTGGGGGAAATGACCAGTTGTCCAAATTTCACTGTCCAAATGCAAATTTTATATTAAAACAAATACTGCTATAAGAGGGACTCCCAAGGATGAGACAGGAGGGCCAGGTTACTTCTAGAGGCAATAGGAATATTTCATGTCACAGAGTTTGTAGGTAATTCTGGGCTGTTTGACAGGGAGAACAGTCGTCATAAGAGGCCACAGTGACAAGATAGTAAGGGATAGTAAGGGATATGGATAGTAAGGGATGATGGGGATGACCAGGAGAAGGATGTTGTTAATGTTGAAAAGGTCTGGCTCTGGAGAAATGCCAACTCCTATATAGAGTCGGCTGTTATAGAAACCTGAGGATTGGAACAAGAAGACCCTATGTTAAAATCATCCACGGGCAACCCACAAATTTTGGTTGATCCTCACTGCCACGTTATGTTATTTAAGACTGATTTTAGCATGTTGGCCTCCTCCAGGGTTGTTTTGTCACCAGAGAGACATAATGCAGTGCTGAGAAGAGAAATAACTAATAAGTCAGAAGATTGGGCTCAGGCTAGCAGTGGGAACAGTGTGGGCTCTAATAATTCAGACCATGGATCTCCTCCCAGTCCTGTCATTTAGTAGCCAGGGATCATGGGAATATCACAACCCTGTGAAGCTTGGAATCTTGAAGTGGGCCTGAGAAGGTCTGTCCAATAGGACTGTTGGGATGTGTGTACTACTATATTTAAAGTCCCTAGAACAGTGCCTGGCCTATATTGGAACTGTAATGAGTGTTCATATTGTCATTGTTCTCCAGCACATATTAAAGAATATGCAATTCAAAAGTACATGGAATAACTAATCAACCAAATTTGAAATTTCATGATTTAAATTCCGTAAATATTCCCTCAGAGGACATACTGTAAAATCTGGGTTTGGAGGACCCATTCCCCTCTGGGAAGCTCTAAAAATCCTAGTTAAGGAACACCTCTATCCTTCCTATCTGTTTTTTCATCCAAACCACTATTTTCATTCATTTCAACTCCTCACCCCTTGCTTAGAGTTGTCCAAATTACACTAAAGGTAAACTGATTAAAATGATGTTCTCTAATGGAGTTGGCTGACATGGAGGCAACATGCCACAGACTTATTTATCAGGAAATCCTTATTTTTCAGAAACCCTTTCAGATGATGGGTCTAAAATACCTAGTATGTGTACTATATAAAATATCTAGGTAAGAGCTCAAGATACCCTTTATACCTGTTCCAGGTAGAGATTCTTACCTGCTATATCCACTCACCATCCAAAAGGAGCTACTCAGAGCATATTTCCACTCTCTAACCCCTAAGAGATGCTACCTGAGTGACTGGCCTCAGTCACTATGCTTTAATCACAATGAAGTTCTATAGGCAGAACTGCAATTTCTCAATGCCCCAAAATACCTTGGTTCAGGGCAAAACCAGATTGCTCTTCACTGGAATCCCATCTTTACATACCTCCTTTACTTGTTCTTAGGTCTTAGAGGATATTTCACCATCTTCATGATGTGACTGCTGAACTTAGATTACCATTCTACATATAAGAGTGGGTCTGGTTTACCCTAGTATCCCACTGCCAACCCAGGTCCTTGAAAATAGTGAATGCTCAATGAAAGCTTGGGGAAGAAATGAGCCAGTGAGCAGAGGCTTCATTTATTATAATTTAATTTTGATTTTAAGTTAACAAATCCAGGTGTATATCTTTTAATTTTACATAATGGAAGACTAAAAGTAATACAATAATAAAAGTCAATACGTTAAATTTTTTCCTTTACTGCTAAATCCATCTACATTTCCAAGAAAATTCCAATTCCAATGCTATGTATGTTGTTACAGATTACAGAAAAGATAGAAAGCCTCCCAATTTGTTGTACAAAAAAGAAAAACTTTATTAAAGTGGGTAACAGGATGAATGTGAGATGAATGTAATTTGTAAGCTTAGATTCTGTGTCCCATATACCTTCTGGTAAAATTAACATTTTGAAACACCAAAAGGAAAATAAATTCCCAAATCACCTAAATAGAATAGTAAAACAAGGACGTTTTATAATGTATTCTCCCGAACTCCAGTCTGAACTTCAACTACTTTGATTATTGACTATGCAGGAATTTACTTTGGGCATAAAGAACGGCTAGTGGCACTAAAACTTGCACTGGCTGGGGTAGTAGCATCATCTGTTGTGGCAACTCTGGCCTGAGCTTTCTCTTCCTCATCTCTCAAAGCCTCCTCATACCATACCGGGAAGGCTCTGGGATCACTCCCATTGACCTTAGCCAAAAATTCCAAGAGACTCATTTTACTAGTTTCATTGTGGGCCCTTGGGCCCCACAGAAACTCATAGTGAGCAGGATCACTGTTAGGCACCTGCCGATACACAAGGTACTCTTCCTGCACCCAATCGTGGGTGATAAGCTTCTTGGGATCCCCATAGATGAAGTTTTCCCTCCCAGCACACACCCCCATAACACTCAGTGCTTCCCAAACTACCTCCTCAGAGGCACAGTTGCCCTCCATGAATATAATGCTCAGTATAAGTACCAGGAGGCCAGCCTTGGGCATGCCCTGAACTTCACTCAGCATCCCATCATAGGTGAGGCCAAGGGTAGTCACAAGGACATAGGAGTGACTCGAGGGATCCACTTCCTTCAGGTCAATGCCAAAGACAAGCTGCATGCACTCAGAAGCCTCACTGAAGATCACAGGGAAGTGCTCCTGGTAATTTTGATGACACTATTCAGCATTTCTGCCTTTGTAGTCAGCTCTTTCATTCGATACTTCAGGAGCAGGAATTCTACCAAATCATTCACCTTTTCATCTATCTCACTTCTAGACAAGGACTTACTACCTGTCAGGGATTGGGAGGTACTTGGACCTTCTTCTCCTTGGCTGGAGACATCAGATTGGCTGCATGGAGTAGAGGTCATGGCAGTGTGGGAGGACGAGGCTGTTGAAGGACTCTGGGAAGGACTTAGTAACGCATCATAACCAAAATCTTCCTCTGGGGAACTCAACAGTAGAGGATAGCAAGGGGAGGAAGTGGAGGAAGAGGAGCCGGGGAAAGAGGAGGAGCAAGTGGAGGAGGAAGAGGAAGTATCCTCCTCATCCACAGCTGTGGAAACCTGGGCATCCATAAGGGCCTGTTTCTCCATTTGGGCCTGAAGGTCTTCCTCAAGCATGTAGTGCCAATGCTTTGGGGCTCAAGGCATGATGATTCTGGTCTAAGACAGCAAGCTGGAGGATGGACAGGAGCTTGGTGTTGGAGACTTACCAGCCTGGGGAGAGAAGGTATGTGTCAGGGCCTTAGCTGAGAACTGAACCCTTGGAACCCCTCACAAAGGCCCACTACAGGTCTTCTCTTTGGGCAATGCTCTAGGGCTATTCAAGTTCCTCTCCTGGTAGGCCTATTTCCTGAAAACCTGAGGCAGGAAGTGAGGCAACTTCTGTGGGTACAGCAAGCCCACAGAGCACAAGGCCCAGGGTTAATAGTAGGGCTTCTGGGGCCTGAGCTCTGTGGGACTCCCTCTGTCCTGGTTAGTGTGGGGTCCTTGATACACATTCCCAGAGTGCACCACACCATGACTCCAAATACTGCCTGGGCCTCCTCTGCTCCAGGACCTGAGGACACTGCCTCATACAAAACCTTCACGACCTGGTTCCAGAAGTTCTTGTAAGAGGCACTGAGGGGCCCCCACAGGTTGCAGACTCCAAGCACAACCTGATCCACCAGCCCTGATAGGAGGGCTGGGCTGCCTTCTGTGAGGTCCCCACTGTTCTGAGGTGGATGGTCCTCTCTGCTTACTCTGGGCCCTTACCTTTCCCCTGGCAGGACCTGGATACCACCCATGTGCTGGCCTGAAGGACACTCTGTGAAGAAGTGCCCACCTCCCTGTGAAGGAACACAAGGCAGTGAGGGGCCTCACATATGGCCACACCTTCTCAAAGGTGAAGCAAGAGCTGGCCAAACTCAATGGTTCCATGTGTCCTGGCCATGGAGGATCTGGCTCAGTCCTCACCTTAGGTATGAGATGCTCTCTAATGATCTAAGGCACCTTCCTTAAACCTTAACAAATCCTAAAACACACCCTGTCTACGTGAGACACCCAGAAAGGAAGTGAGGGAAAGGTAAAGCCAATGGAACTGGGTTGTCCCATGGCTGAGAAGAAAGGGCAGGTGAGGATCGGGGTCCTTGTGTTCCACTGAAGAAATTCCCTCTGTCCTTACCTGACTCCTGGCTATGCCTGAGATCCTCCTTCTGCTTTCCTGAGCCCAATCCCCTCTTACTGAGGCCTTCACTTCTCTGAAATCAATGACACACAGAAAATAAAGGAACCTTTACAACCCTGCCTGGGCTTCCTGTGCCGACAGCAGGTAACGGGAAGATTTCTGAGGGGCATCTACTGTATTCTGGGACCCTTGACCTTCCCCTAGGGTCCTCACTTTACTCTTGGGTAAACTGGGACACCTGCGTCTGATGACCAGATAGTGATCCCTGTGCTAAGATGAAGTTACCCTGTCACATCAGGTTCCTCTCTTCCCCAAGAGCCCTGGTACTTCCCAGAGAAGTGAACAGTTTCCCACTGCCCTTGTGTAGGTTCTCCAGGGCTGGTGGCTGGACCTGGGTCCAATGTATTATGGGCTGGGAGATTACCCAAGTCCTTGGACTCATGCCCACGCCTGCCCTTCCTCACTACCACCCCATCTGAAATGAACTGACGTCTTTAGACCAAGACCCCATCTCCCTGAATACCTCCCATATTTGCGCCCATGGCAGAAGATCTTGCCACTTAGGGCCTCCTCAGGCTGACTATAGTGGCCAGGCACACTATGTGGTATCCATTGGGTCAGAGATGGGGATACTTTCTATCCTCATGAAGAGTCCATACCTTGGGTCTGGCAGGTCCTGGATTCCTCCCTCTGCTGACATGTCATCACCTCTTGGACCAAGGTCTCTACACATATAAAACCTCTCAGCCAAACCAGGAGGCAGAAATGAGCCAGAGTTACTTCCAGTGACCCTGCATAGGGCCCCACAGGGTAGATTACAAGGGAAGCCAGGCTCTCTGAGGTCCCTTCCTTTGGGAGGTATGGCATTCAGTCCCTGTCACCAAAGTTCCTCACCTTGATTCCCGGTAGATGCTGGAATCCTCCCTCTGCTGACCAGCTGTGGCTCCTCTGCCGTCCTGATGAACTCTCTCACACCAGGGCCTCACCTCCCTGATTTGGAGGAGACAGAAGTGAGGACAGCACATTTGGACACGGCTGCACGGGGTTTCCCCAGGTTAACAGACCAGCAGGTTCCAGGGGCCTCCTTTGTCTGGAGTGTCCTCAAGGTACTCATATTCACTCCTGACAGGGTCTGGGCCCTTTCCCCTCTGCTGACCTGTAGATACAACTTGCAGGCCAAGGCCACCATCTCTTGGAAGGTCCAAAGGGGGAAGAAGGTGTGGGATCCCTTCCCCAAAGTCCTGCCTATAGCCATCCCAGGCTGCCAGCAGGGGCAGTTTTCCCATGTCTTTAATCTGGGCTGTTACTGAACTTCCCAGAAGACCCTGAGATTCCTCCCTCTGCTGACCCAGGAACACATACTTCAATCATGCTCACTCATCCCTGATACCATGGAAGCACAGGAAGGTGCTGCCTCTGGCCACCCTGCCCTGGCCTGTCAGGGTGGAGGTCCCCCTTTGATCTGGAGTACAAGGCCCCCTCCTTCCTCCCTGAGTCCTCCCATTGACTTCTGGCAGCAGCCCACTTCTCTCCTGAGTCAGAATTCCAGAGTCAGAATGAAGGACGGGCTCAGTCTGAAAGCAGGGGTAGGGCTGGGTGCCAGCCATTCTGTGTCCTGGGCCACTCAGTCCTCCCTCATTTCTAACCCTGACTGCCAACAGGCCCTCCTTCTTCTACTGAGTCCCTCAGCTCCCTCAAACCCAGATGCCAAAGTCAGAAATCACAGTCCCTGAAAACCTGCTATAGGCTTCCCAGGGCTGAGAGTACACTGGGCCTGATTCAAGGTTACCTCAGTCCTTCCTCAGTGCTCCACTGACTTCTAGCTGGTCTGGGCACCTCTTCTTGCTTACCTGAACCTATGCTTGTGCTACTAAACTATAACCTCACTCAGACACGAATGCCAAAGTCAGGAACCACCTTTTTCTTTACCTTATATGAGGCCTCCCTGGGCTGACTGCAGGGGCAGATTTCTATGGTGTTCTGGACATTCTGTAGTATATGGCCCCTCCTCCAAGACCAAGGGCATCAATTGTGTCAGATACCCAACTGAGGTTGTTAAGGTACTGCACCTCTACCCATCATGGCTAGATTTTCCCAGGTCTGATCTCAAGGGCTGAGTTGTATTTTGTGGGACTCCTCTACCAGTATCAAGTGGATCCCCTCATTCTTTCCTGTCTCTCCTCAGGATGGTTTCTGTCAGTTTTTTGATCCTCATCCTCTGTTGATCTGTGTCCTTTGAGACTAACCAGGGTTCTTTAAGGCTGAGTGAAGGGCTCATTCCCCCAATCTGGCCCTGTGTGCTGCAGAGCTGACCACACAGGCAAATCAGTATAATTTTCTTGAACTCAGGGATGCTCTACCACTGAACAACATGTCTGTCTCTTTACATTTTATTTTTAAATTTTTGAGACAGGATCTTATTTGCCTAGGCTGCCCTTGAACTTGCCATCCTCCAGTCTCAGCTTCTCAAGTAACTGGAATTATAGGTATGCACCCTTACTCCATCCAGACCTGGATAATTTGGGGTGGAACTGAAGCTAGATTTAAAGATAGGTAGTTAGTGTAGTTAGGTAAATTCGGTCTAATATCGAGTAAGATAAAGAAAATGGAGACCATTATTATTTTTTTAAGAGAGAGAGAGAATTCTTTTTAATATTTATTTTTAGTTTTTGGTGGACACATCATCTTTATTTTTTTTAATTTTTATGTTGTGCTGAGGATCAAATCCAGCGCCCCTCGTATGCCAGGTAAGTGCCCTATCGCGTCACCAGTTGAGCCACATCCCCAGCCCAAGAGACCATGATTGAGAATGGAGTCCAGGAAACCAGAGCTGCACTTGGGGAAATTGAAATGTTAATGTCCCCAAGGCCCAGAACCCATCCTAAGGAACTGTTAATGAAGTAGCTCCCAGTAAACAGGGAGGTGCTAACCAAAAACCACCCCAGGCCCTTCCTGCTCCGACTACTCCTTCAGCCCATCTATGCCCTCCTTTTGGCCTTCCCATCTACATTCTAGCACTGAAAGATGAAGGGAAACAAAGGAAATGAGTGTGGGAAAGCTGAAAGAAGACCTTAGCTGTAAAAAAGGGAAGACCTCCTCTTCCATGGATTCCAACTTTGCCTTTAGGGTCCCCTTTTTCCTCCAGGGAGAAGTCTTTTCTGCTCTTCTTTAATAAAAGCTTCCACTTTGCACTCTACACTTGCCTCTGTGTGCTTCTCTGGTGTTATACTTCAGCATTGGGGAAGCAAGGACTCATCACCAGTAAACAGTGGTTACAGAAGTTTCTCAGGTTATCCTGAGCATCTCAGTTTGTCCTTTTCTTTTTTCATGCAAGTGTGCCAAGCTCTCTAGTACTGAGCTACACCTAAAATCCAAATCTTGACATCAACGTAATGCTAGTACTGTGTGCTACACCAACGTGAAGCACATCATGAAAACAAGGTCCTACTGAAGAATATCCTGCTAAGTGAAATAAGGCAATCCCCAAAATCCAAAGGCTGGATGTTTTCTCTGATATGTGGATGCTAACACACAATGGCATGGGCGGGGGGCAGAGGGTGGGGGGTGGCGAGAATAGAATAGAAGTACATGGATTAGGACAAAGGGGAATGAAGGGAAGAGGGAGGCAATGGGAATAGAAAAGACAGTGGAATGAATCTAACAGAACTTTCCTTGTATGTAGATGAATACACCACAGTGAACCTCCACAGTATGTATAACCACAAGAATGGGATCGTAATTAGAATAAGATATACTGCAAGTATGCATAATATGTCAAAATGCACTGTACCGTCATATATATGTATATATATATATATATATATATATATATATATATATATATATATATGAGAGAGAGAGAATTTTTAAAAAATCAAGATCCTAACGTCTGTCCCATCCCCAAAGCAAACTCAGTGAATATCAAAACCCACCGAATACCTGGGGCCACCTATTGTGGAAGGCAGGGCCGGATTGGGGTTCC